GGACGGGGCGGCTCTGGCGGAGGCAGCGGTGAGGAGGTCGTGCGGGGGGCGGCGGTCTGCAGAGGAGGAGGTCGTGCGGGGGCGGTTCTCTTCTTCTTCTTTTTGACTGCGGGGCGAGTGCGAGGCGATTAGCGATCGATCGTGGCTTGTTGCGTGGTTGGTAGCGTTAAACACAGAATGATTAAGGGCCATTAGATTTTGATGATGAATGGGTGTGATTGTTTGGATCTGCCCCTTTCTTTCTTTTATAGTAGTAGTAGATATAACACACGCGGCCAACAACGAAGGTAAACTCTCATGTATTTATGTATTTGTATTAGTTAAAAGACACCTTCCAATCACATGGTAAAAAAAAACCACCCAAACATCACAATAAAAAAAAGAAAATGATACACTCATGTACGATTCACTACAGATTGGTCATACCAAACACTCTCCCATCAATCACCTCCCTGTTCTCACCGTTGGGCCACTCTATATACGTCTGGTTCAAAAAAGGTTAGAACATCTTATATTTGTGAACGGAGGGAGTAGTATATCTTGCGTGGGAACACACCACAAAGCTATATTCTTTACTCTTTGTATAAAGATGTGAGTTGCGACAGTCTGTTCATTTCATTAGTTGCTAGGAAATAGGAATTTCCACAGTTGTTTTTCATTTGTCAAATGGCTGCAACATTTTTTTGTTTGGCATCGTAAAATAACCAATAACTAGAAGGGCAGTGCGTGCTTTGCCGCGCCGCTTATGTTCTTGGGGTTGTACATGTTTTATTTCTACATGATAATTTTTATTAAATTGTGAAAATTATTTACGTGCTAGTTGGTTTGGCGTATGGAGGAAAATAATGAAGTGTGTTCTTTTTATTAGAGTTGCTACACCAACGAACAAACTTTACGGAATCATGATTACGGATGGATGTGTCAATTTATGGTTGGAGATAGGGAAAGATATGTTTTTGTGTCTTTGTTCGCTCATTTTAGTTTGCATGTAGTTCATCTTGAAATATCCAAAACATCTTATATTTGTGGCCGGAGGGAGTACCATTTTGTGTTTGTTGAAGGATTAGTTCTTTAATGAGAAAAAACCTTGCGCATTGTCATTGTGTCATTGTCTCATTGATGAACACATACACACTGTATGAGCAACTCTTCATGGTGTACAACTCTGGTACTAGGTATCATGTTTCTTAAAAATTATTTAGGGTCCATTTGGAACAAATAACTGACTATATAATGTACGGTCAACATTATGCTTATAATAGATGGACAGACTTTGCACAAAATAGTTAAGCGTCAGTAAAGACGCTTGAGGAATAACCTCTGCGGAATTCATTTCCGAATACTCTGACAGTATATACAGATACTCGAGCCAAAGTAAAAAACTGCATTAAGAAAGAATCTCGACAACAATTCAAAGACCTCTTCAGCTTTTCTTTCACACAACATTGAGAAAAGGTGGTTGTACCAAAGCACCAGGATAGGGAGGACACAGTCTAACAACCAATCTTTCATAGTTGATCAGAATATAACCACAGAGCGGCAAAAATACAAATCCAAGAAATCATCTATTAGTAATGCTACAGGTGCCTATGTCTTCCTAGCATCGCTTCAGTTGCTGCAGGTTAGCTCCCGATTCCATTTTTTTCTTACAGTTTGAGCGACAGAAGCTTGCTTACGACGACGGCTGTAGCCCTCTCTTTTGCTGCACATCACAGATGAAGAAAAGTTTAGGTTCATAGAGAAGGTGGTATGTCAACCAGGAACCGGTTTAACCCCAGCACCAATCTAGCAATCCATGACAGGAAAATGCAAGACTGCACAAATAAATCTAATTTTCACTCCACATATCACTTATAGAGGTATGCTATATTAAAAAAAACGCTTCAAAATATATTTCTGGCCAAAGAATCTAGAATATTTAGAGAGAGAAGGAAATATCAAAATACCTGATAAAAATAAGGCCTGCTGTAAGAACCATTCCTCCGACTGCCCACGAAATTCTTTCACCGACAGGCATTTCTTTTGCCCATATCTGAAAATCTTCAAGATGCCAAGAGGCCATACCATGTAATACTGGACGATCTTTTGAAGACGTCCATGTATGGGATATGGAATCCAAACTTGCTTTCCCGCCATAGCAGAAGGTTTCGTCAACTTCACTAAGACCGGCATCAGAAACTTGCACAGAGAAACCAGCAAGGCGACATAGCTCTGTGCCGTTAGAAACCCACTTATGTGCTTTGCCACAAAGGATGTCACCTAAACCACAAGGAGATAAGGCCTGGGATAACCGTAAGAGAGCATATCAGTAATCAAACTGTGAAATCATACCGACAAAAAGATTTGTTAGCTACAACAGATTTCAACAAACACAAGAAAAACTAATTTCTGCGGTATTAATAGCTACTCCCTCCGTTCCATAGAACGGAGGGAGAATGTACTGAATGGACATAGATTAGACATTATTGCCTAAGCTATGATCTGACTACGAAAAATATCAAGCTCAATCTGGTAACTGCACGTGTACTTGCACAACAGTAATGCTTTGACATCCAGATAGTTTCAGTCGAGACATAACTCACGCTCACAAAACACCAGCAATGGGTGTTTACCTGTGTTTTCATATCAATGGAGAAGTATGCCTCCGAGCAAGCTTCGAAAACCATGTCACAGAATGATGCACATATAACAGGAGGTCCAGGCCTGACACCAACTCGTGGATCACAAACTGAGCACTCGAGCAACTCCCACAAATGAAGGCATTCTCCACTACCTTCACCAGTTGACGAGAGCTTTCGCACTGAAAGCAGGGCAGGAAATGTCTGAGTCACGTCACAACATGTGTTCTGGCGGAATATCCTACATAGTGCTAGGTCTCTGCGCCCCTTTGCTGCTTTTCCAGGAGGCTTGCCTTCAAATGAGAAAGCAGGGAACCGTCCACCAGGTGAAACACATACCCCTTTTGGTTGTGCTGTGGAGCAAGAAATTAAACAACATTAGTTGCACATCAGATAATTTTGCAATGTTTGCCCATGGTGCAAATCACAACGGTTCATGCCCATTTCCTCATTCAACCAAGATAACACGAACCTCCTACTCTATCTTACCAAGAAGCACCCATTCAATGTAAAACCACAAGGCTCATATACAAGGAAGAAACTCAAAGCTATTGATTTCACAGAAAGTACTTTGTTCATCTGTCTTGTGATCGGCAGAAATGCCAAGAACCGACGTTAGTAAAGCATAGGATAGGACAACGATGCTTCTAACCATAAAATATAAACTTATATAACATCTTCCTATCCTTTGCTGTACGAACTGATAATTCATACAATCGCTTGTCATGGATGGGAATTGGGCCCTAAAATGCACATAGATCACGGTCATTTATGAATCACCTTCCAGCAATATAAAGATTTAACCTGCAAACTTAATTAAACCTATAAATCCGGAGAGACTAACAACCTACACGACAATTCCAGCGACTAAGCGCAGAACACATCAAGGATCCACTAAAACCCATCAAGATTCAAGAATCACTCAGCGACATAACTAAAAAGCTCACGTATATCATCGATAACAGCAACATATAATACACCAAAGCAAAGAAGAATAAGCGTATGGGATCACGAGAACGCGCGCGCGCGCGATTGCTCGTACCAGCCGACGCGGTTAGCGAGAAGAAGAGCAGGAGGAGGAGGAGGATGTAAGTGGGAGTCCGACGCGACGGCGGAGGAGGGCTCATCGGAGTCAACCTGCCCACCGGCAGGGTCTCGCGGCGGCGCGCGGCCGGGCGGCCAGCCGGCGTGATCCGTCGAGCGGATAGGCGACCAGGGAGGGGAATCAATTCGTGGTCGGATCGATCCGCTAGCGGAGTGCGGACCAGGCACCCAAGTCAACAAGCACTGCGCAATCTCTCGACGTAGATGGGCCGGTGACGACGTTAGGGTCCAGTACACGGCATCAGAAAAATGTCGTGTTTGTGACTTTGAAAAAATGTTTATGCATTTCAATAAAAAATGTAGTACATGACATTTCTGAAAAATGTTATACAATGTAAAAAATGTTGGTGTAATTTATTTTAAATCATACAATTCAAAAATTATATGTTATGCTTTAAAACACGTTCACACATTTCAAATATACGTTTGTGACATTTTAAAAAAGTGTAAAAATTGTTCGCATAGTTTAGAAAATGTTTTGTGTCATTGAAAAAATGTTTTCAACATGTATTTGAAAACTGTTTAACACATATTCAAAAACATGATTTTGTTTTTTAAAAAGAAATATATATTTGGAAAAGTTAAACGTGTATGTTTGGAAGGATAGACTATGATTTGTTATGTTTTATTTTGTACTCCAAGAGGGTTATGTACTCCTATATATATGCCCACGAGGCTTAAGCAATACAATCAATACTCTTGATGGATCAATGATCAATCAATATGGTATTATGGGAGTACTAGAATTGGTGCCGGATCTTGTCAATTTCACACCTACACAAGTAATGCTTATCGAGGAGCTTGGTTAAGATGAGTGGCACAAAATTAAAGATATTGATAATGTTGAAAATATTCACAAATTACATGCAAAGCAAATAGATTAAAACATATGATATCACTTGGAACTTACACGAGGAAGATAAAATGAGATTCGTTCAACCAAGGAATGAGCACAAAATATGTTACCACAGAAAAAGCTCATGTTGCACGAATACTAGACGAGATGCTAGCATGATTTCTCAAATGGCTAGGTACGTACTTATGCACGATCTATGAGAGACGAAATATGCTGTCTTTTTATCCCAAGTATGCTATGTATATATGATTCGAGATGATCTATGGCATGCAATGTGGCTCAATGCTATTGCTTAGAAGCTCTTGGTTTTCTTTTCCTTTTTCTTAAAAGTTTGCTCTTTTTCTGAAACATGATGTCTTTGCCACTTATGCGAAATGCTCGATCCAAGATAACAATGATGTATGCACAAGAGTAACTTATGACATAAGCTATGACAACAAAATGTGTACACGCAATTGAAGATATGCAGTGTATGTATCACTAAATTGCACAAGTAACGTTGCCCAACAATTCTCAATGGCCAGTCTCGGTAGAAAAGTTATGCAAATGGTTCGGGGTTATCAAGGAAATATACAATGATGTCTGGAACTTACCGTCCTTGCTTAGGATCGCCGTGTTAGGGGGTGGAGCAGTCGTTGTCGATGTTGAGTTTGTGTTGATGATGAGTGGCGGTGTTGTTGATGTCGAACCATCCCCAATTAGCCGAAACACCTTAGAAAATGGAAATTCACACTCAAAATCTCAAAGAAAATGGGTCAAAATGGGTTGGTAGTGGAAGATGGGCTGGTTATGGTTGAAGTGGGGGTTTTGAGGAAGGCTAATGGTGGTTGAGTAGGCTAGGGTCACGGAATAATGTGGTGGAAACCGTGGTTTTTCTTTTGGGGGGAATGCAATTTCAGCAGTCGGATCCAGATGATCTGGGTGTGGTTTCGAACTATTCGGGTGATGTCCAGATCGTTCGAGTGTCTGTCTGGATCGTCCGGGTAGGTCAACCGTTGTAGATCTAGGCTCGGGATGAAAGAATTTTTTGGGAGAATTTTTTAGGGCGGATTCTGGGATGGATTTCGTGGTGGTGATGGTGGGAGGAGGCTTGATCCACTTGCCAAACAACAAATTCGTGGATTGAACAAACAAAATCTCACAAGAACCAGCAAAATGCAAAAAAATGGTACATCTATTTTTGGTGGGTATTTTTGAATTGGGACAAAAGGCAACAAAATTAGCTACAAAGTGGGGTAAGGGGCTCCAAGATGTGAATCAACCTGTGCACTGATCCAAGATGATGTAGGGTGAAACTCTAGTTGATGATCTTCTTCACACTTGGAGGTGGGAAAGGGGAAAATTAAGAGGAATCGCAAAAGAGGAACACTCAAGAGACAAGATCCAAGGTCACTATACATCCAATAAATCTACATACACATACAAGGTTCAAGATCCAAATCCAAAAATAGGAAAGTAAAAAGGTAGACAGTTCTTCCCAAGTCTCTAAGAAAAGAGGGGACTTGTATCTATGGTGGATCTTCCCTTAGAGGGGCCTTGTATCCACTAGGGATCTTCTCACATGGAGGTCTTGATCTCCACGAGAGAGGTAGATAAGGAGTAAAGATCTCTAGTTTACCTCATATGCTTTGCTAACCCTAATAGAGAGGAGGGGGTCATCTATTTATAGTCCAGGACATGATAGAGAGGTAGATGGGGATATACATGGCAACATGAATGTTTTGCGCGCATGCAAGACCAAAAGTCCGGGTGGGGTGGGTACCCAGATGGTCCGCCCATTCTCCGGATGATTCGAGTAGTCACCCGGATGGCCCGGCAGAGTCATTACATTGGTCGTCAGGACGGATGTTCGGGACGTCGTTGGGATGTACCACTTCTTTTGGATGATCTGAGAGGGGTCCCGAATGATCCATCTTTAGGCTCAGCCTTCAGGCGTTTTCGGGACACGTGGCCCAATCATTCGGGCATTGGTTGGATCATCTGAAGTAGGGTCTAGATTGTTCGGGCAAGGACAGACTTGTCCCGTTTCCTTCTTCTCCTTCGCGATCTTGCTCCGCCATTGCTTCGTCTGGTTCCTTAGATTCTCCATGGTTGGTCCCTTGCTACCTGAGCACACGAAGTGTCTCCATTTGAGGTAGTAGTCATGTCTCATGTGATTCAAAGGGAAGTTCGACAAGGGGAGAGTTAACCTCGGTTTCGATAGCTCTTGCACGAGCTCTTGTCATTGATCCACTTGGTGTCTTGGGTGATGATGGCATGTCCATGAGATGACCGTAGGATGCTCCGCATCAGGTTGCCTCCCATTTAGCACTAGTTTTTGTTGGGGAACATAGTAATTTCAAAAAAATAATCCTACGCACACGCAGGATCATGGTGATGCATATCAACGAGAGGGGAGAGTGTCGTCCACGTACCCTCGTAGACCGTTAAGAGGAAGCATTATGACAATGCGGTTGATGTAGTCGTATGTCTTCACGATCGACCGATCCTCAGTACTGAACGTACGACACCTCCACGTTCAGCACACGCTCAGCTCGGTGACGTCCCGCGAACTCACGATCTAGTAGAGCTCAGGGAAGAGTTTCGTCAGCACGACGGCGTGATGACGATGTTGATGAAGCTACCATGACAGGGCTTCACCTAAGCACCGCTACAGTATGACCGAGGTGGATTATGGTGGAGGGGGGCACCGCACATGGCTGGGAGAGATATTTGTGATCAACATGTGTGTCTAGAGGTGCCCCCTGCCCCTGTATATAAAGGAGCAAGGGGGAGGCTGGCCGGCCCTTGTGGGTGCGCCAAGAGGAGTAATCCTCCTCCTAGTAGGAGTAGGATTCCCCTCTTTCCTACTCCTACTAGGAGGGGGAAAGGAAGGGAGAGAAAGAGAAGGAAAGGGGGGCGCCCCCCTCTCCTAGTCCAATTCGGACAGAGGGGAGGGGGCGCGCTGCCTGCCCTAGGCCGGCCCCTCTCTCTTTCCCTTATGGCCCAACAAGGCCCATTATCCCCCGGGGGGTTCCGGTAACCCCTCCGGTACTCCGGTAAAATCCCGATTTTACCCGGAACTCTTCCGATGTCCAAATGTAGGCTTCCAATATATCAATCTTCATGTCTCGACCATTTCAAGACTCCTCATCATGTCTGTGATCATATCTGGGACTCCGAACTACCTTCGGTACATCAAAACATATAAACTCATAAAACCGATCATCACATAACTTTAAGCGTGCGGACCCTACGGGTTCGAGAACTATGTAGACATGACCGAGACACGTCCTCGGTCAATAACCAATAGCGGAACCTGGATGCTCATATTGGTTCCTACATATTCTACGAAGATCTTTATCAGTCAAACCGCATAACACTATACGTTGTTCTCTTTTTCATTGGTATGTTACTTGCCCGAGATTCGATCATCGGTATCCCAATACCTAGTTCAATCTCATTACCGGCAAGTCTCTTTACTCGTTTCATAATGCACTATCCCGCAACTAACTCATTAGTTGCATTACTTGCAAGGCTTATAGTGATGTGCATTACCGAGAGGGCCCAGAGATACCTCTCTGACAATCGGAGTGACAAATCCTAATCTTGATCTATGCCAACTCAACAAGTACCATCAAAGACACCTTTAGAGCACCTTTATAATCACCCAGTTACGTTGTGACGTTTGGTAGCACACAAAGTGTTCCTCCGGTATTCAGGAGTTGCATAATCTCATAGTCATAAGAACATGTATAAGTCATGAAGAAAGCAATAGCAGTAAACAAAAATGATCAAGTGCTAATGCTACCTCTTGAGCACTGCGTTGGTTTTCCCTTGAAGAGGAAAGGGTGATGCAGTAGAGCAGCGTAAGTATTTCCCTTAGTTTTTTGAGAACTAAGGTATCAATCCAATAGGAGGCCACGCACGAGTCCCTCGCACCTACACAAACAAATAAACTCCTCGCAACCAACGCGATAAAGGGGTTGTCAATCCCTTCACGGTCACCTACGAGGGTGAGATCTGATAGATATGATAAGCTACCATTTTTGGTATTTTTATGATAAAGAGAAATAAAGATGCAAGTAAAATAAATGGCAAAGGAAATAACCAAGTATTGGAAGATTAATATGATGGAAAATAGACCCGGGGGCCATAGGTTTCACTAGAGGCTTCTCTCGAGAGCAT